GGGGTCCTCGTGGCGAACGCAACACGCCCCTCCCCCCCCCCGAATCTCGTCTCGGTCGGCGATCCTTTGTCCGCGTGAACACCCGCGTCCGGAGGTTCAAAGTCGCGGGATGAATCACGCGCACGCGATCTGTGTTCCCGGCGACGCGATCGCGCTCAAATCAATCTCCGAGGACGGGGACTTCCGACGAAGGAGTGACTGCTGACAATGCCTACTAGATGCACTGCCTAGTATATATATATGTATATATACTCACTATGCGCTGCGTGGAAAAAGCCGAATCCACCAGTGCGACGACGAGCAGCAGACAGAATGTCGAGGCGCTGATCGCCATGCCTGCCAGTCGCGTCCGACAACGGCGATTCAGCAGAAAACAACGCTTACGACTCACACTGACGCTGTTCGCTGCGCGAACTGACATCAACACCAACGCGATCGCGTGGGAACATGCGGTTCTATGGGGAGCGAGCGGGAGACCAGCGCCCCTCGTGGGAACGAGAGCAATCAGACGGGAATCGGACGCGAGCGGTAAATTGATTCTCACTCGATCGGTAAGATGAATTCGATATAGAGATCGAAGTCCGTCTCAATTTTAGACGTATATGATGCTTTTTTTCGCATTTGAGAAAAAATTGCGGATGTTCAATTTGAAAAATGATATCCCTTTTGTATTTAATATTGAAAGTTAGAAAGTATTTAATTGGTGCTAATTATAAGGTACAACTTCATCTTTAATGTCGCAAATTAAATGAATTTCTCTTGATGAGAAATTTGCTACGCCTTATGAGCAAATGATAAAAAAATGCAAAGAAGTAGAATACAATAAAATTGTAATTCAACTCAATACAATACAATTTTTGAAATGAAGAATAAACTTATGAGATCTGACATTAAAATAAAAGGAAACTGCTTTAAGTTATGAATTATGGATATATCGTAGAAATAGCAAAAGGAACAGCAATAGATGGGGCATTAACATGATAATGATCCTTTTTTGAAATCGAAAGTAAATTTATTTATGAACTTTGACATTATAAAATTTAAAATATACAAGATAATTGCTATAATTTTCGCAATTTTTCGCAATAAATATCTTATATAAGATGTCCATTAGCATCAGAAATATAAAATTAATAACATGATGTGTGAGATTCAGCTTGATTAATATATTTAAAATATTGCATTTTTAGGCCGAATACTAATCGTGCAGCAAAGAAACAGAATATGTATATTTATGAAAGTATAATTCATCATATAATCATAATAATCATCAGTATAATCATAAGATTCCGTCGATGACCAGAAAAGTGTATACTTATTTATGTTATATACACAAGTTGGTCGAGAATCCATTGCTATAAAGTTACTCCTTAAAGTATGAACATAATTATAACTATATTTACAAGTAAGAAAAGGAGAGAGAGAGAGAGAGAGAGAGAGAGAGAGAGACAGAGAGAGGAAGATAATATGATAATTTAAAATAAAAAGTAGATTTATGAAGGGAGTTTAACATTATAAAATCGCAGAATCTTCAGGTTAAAGGATCGAAATTTATGTTAGCGCATAACAACTTTGTTAAGTCAACTTATAATACTCGCGCTTCTCAATTTGCATCATTCATCTCACTTCTCACGGACGATGAATTAATCGTTACACGACTTACCTTTCGGCCGACGCGAACGTTACTTCTGCATTAACCAGCGTCCCCGTCGTCGTCGATATTTTCATCTTAACCGAGGCTCAACGACGATGACGATCGGGTATGCGAACCGAAAAATCGAAAAATTGCGTCGCATACTCAAGGATTATACTCACCCAATGGCGATACTTACTTACGTCCTCCGCAAACTCTCGGCCGCCGATACCGGCGCTCTTGAGGGATTTTTAACGTTGGCGCGCATTGTAAATATGTAATATGAGCCGCCTTTCGCGCCGAGAGAAGGAAACTCGTACCCCATTGGCCGTCGAATGCCGCCAACGGTGGTGGAGTTACCAAGCCTCGGCACATTATCCCGCGTAAGTCTCGTGTACAATTCCGCTTTTATATATACAAAATACCTTCGTCGGCGTAGGCCTTGAGACGCGCGTATTAAAATTCGTTGTACCTGTGAAAAAATTTTCATATCGCCGCCGCGGTACAATCGGACGTTACGCCTTGGCGCATCGGAAGTCGTAAGTCGCGTATATTCTTTGTGTCAAACGATCGCGATAATCCTCGATGGAGTCTCGAGAATTATATTTCGATACGGAAAGGACAACTTTCTCGCTGGGAGATCTGAAAATTTGACCGGACACGGATCTGAAAATAATTTTGTCTTCAAAATTATTACGTACGTACGTTCGACTTGGTTGTCAGAAGATAAAAAATTTTTGCAGTATTATTATCATGTTTAAACATTCTGAATAATAATTTTGATGGTCCAATAAAGTAATTATTTTCAGATCTGTATCTGATGAAATTTTCTGATGAGATTTACCAGCAAAATTGTTTCTCTCCGTGTATAATAATTAATCGATATTTACAGAGTCTAACAATCTCTCACGTGCGGATATCGTTTCTTGAAATCGCAAGCGTGTTGCTACGAAGAAACGTAATTCCGCCGAGATAATTAAAGTTACGGAGAACCATAATCGTGGCTGCCATTTCCCAGTGTGGAAAGGCTTTCGTCGAGGAGAAAAACGAAAAAAAAGAAAGAAAAGAAAGAAATCGTATGGGGCAATGGAAATACCGGAATTCCTCGAAATTAACGCGAGCAGGAAGAACCGACATTTTCGCACGACCGTGGCCGCAGATCATGCAAATGAAACGTAAGCGTAACGTAATTCGCGATCTCGTGTCGTGTGGCGTGCGTGCGCACGCGCTGAAAATCGGCGTGGCGCGACGACGGCGGGTTCTCGCGGGGACCGACGCGACGCCGATCGGTTCCACTCGGGACACCGGGTACAGGCGGGGAAAGAGAACGTGCAAAAAGAACGTTAAGCGCGCAGACTGCGACCTTGACCGAAGCGGTGTCCGCGCGCGAGGCGAGGCGAGGCGAGGCGAGGCGAGGCGAGGCGAGGCGCGGAGCGGCAAGACGAGGAGGCGAGGCGAGACGAGGCGAACGTACGTTGTGCGATCCGTCTAGCAGCGGATTGCGAGGGGTTCTATTCCCTTGGCCGGTCCCGAGCCGATTTCCTTTTCGATACGGACGACTTTTTCGAGCGCGCCTCGCCGCGGAGCGAAGACAACGAACGCTGAAGTGTAGAGGATATGATTTTCGTCCCGCGAGACGAACTCGCGACGAACACGCGAAAGATGCGCGAAAGATGCGCGTTCCATTCCATTTTCCTCTTATCCACATGAGAGAAAAGAAAAGAGAAAGACATAGGTAGAGATATATTGGATTTATATGGAGAAAGAGTGATCACTTTCTCCATACAACACAAATTTTGCAGTTATATCGCAGCGATGTTTGTACCGTATAAATTCGAACATTTCGAAAAAAGTATGAAATTGTCGGCACGTGCATGTGCATCTGGAGGATGAGCGTGTAAGCGTGCACCTGGCAACGGCGTGGAAAGTTGAGGAAACACCATGAGAGAAACTTTAGATGCATCGCGCACGCACCGCGCGTTGCGCACGAAGCGCGGACGTTCGGAACGTATTCGGAAGGGTTTAATTACGGGAAGTAATTACATCGGTAGAGGAGGAAGGATATAATTAATCGATTGACAACGAACGAAGTCCTCTCGTGGCGGACTGGCGGAGTAATGAGAGAGGAAAAATAGTTAGTACTCGCGAGATTTCGACGAGCCTCAAATTTCGAGCCGATCGAGCCGATCGAGCAGGAAGCCCGCGCAAATTCGCCACGCGTAATTAGCGAGGGGAGGTTTTCTTCTGTCGTCGGGGTCGAGGCGTCCGCGGAGGCGAAGACCTCGGCCGAGAGAGATCTGTCTCGCGACGAGAGGAGCCACAATAGCGAGAACACTCAAGGTCAAGGTCAGTCTGGGCACTCCCCTTCGCGTCTATCGAGAGTCGCTCGACGACCGCCTCCTTCGCCCGGACGAAGTCTGGGCCCGATTTTTCCGAGATCGGCGGCGGCGAAGGTGAAGGCGCGAGGCGAGGCGAGGCGAAGTAAAAGCCGCACATGCCGAACGCACGTTCCTCAGCGACTTCGCGATGCGGCGCTCTGAAGGTCGTCGCGGGAAGTCGAGATCCGCGGGAGAATAGAACCGTCTCGCGTATACCGGGTGGCGCGATCGGAAACGGATTTCGCTGCCCTCACCTGCACTCCCTGCGATCGTTCACGCAACAAAGATTTCTTGGGCATTATCAATGGAATCCCTTCACTTTATCTCCGACTACCCGTTAAGCTGATAAGAAACAATCGGAAAACAATAAGAAATCAAACGATTTCTTACAATTTTCTTGTAAATCCCTATGAGCAAATCTTCTTTCGATCCTTAAAACTCCTAATTCTTTTCTCGTAAGAATTAATTGTATACATCATATCTGTAACTTGTCTATTTAACCTAAGGCATTATTTTTATTCAGTTTGACAAAAGTGATTCATTTTTTTATTTTCTGGCGATAATTTTTCGTACGGAATAAGCATTCGCCTTCGGTCAAGTTTATCCAATGTCAAGATCACAGGATGAGCAGTAATTTAATGCACATTTTCAAGAAATATATGTAAAATATTATAAATGTAAAAAGTGAAGAAAACTTTATATATGAAATATCTTATTAGCAAAAGAGATAAGATGAATGGGTTTATATCTTTGCCTAAAATTTCCAACCGCGTTCTTGCAATCGTAAATTAAGAACAAGATACGAATGTAAGACGGTAATTTCGACACTCTTCGTTCAATTTCCCGTCGCGCTCCAACTCGCTTTGAGCCAGTTTTATCACGAAAGAAGAATAAGGCGACTTTTTGCGCTAAACGTACCTGCCTAATAGTCGATCTTATCAATGTTATACCTTCGGCCCAACGTCGACTGTTAATTGTAGCCGCTAGCCTCCCGTTTTGCGACGGAAGAAAGGAGGACCGTTTCGAGTTTACACTGCCGGAACGTAGGACGGTATTCGCTCCTGCTCCAAAGGACGAAATCCGACGGCGATAAATCGCTCGATGTAGCAATCGAGATAGCGATTGGTTTTGTGTCTTAGCTCTAAACGCGGACTCTAAGCGCGGGATCCTTCGCTGCGCGCGACGCAACAGCGAGTAGAGTTGCAACCGGCACGCATGCACGCACGCACGCACGCACGCACGCACGCACGGATGCACGCACGCACGAAGGCACGCAGAGGCATCGGGCGATCGGATTCGAAGGCGAGTCCGTGATAATTCGCACCCGGCGCGACGACCGAAAGACCTACGACTGCACGACTTGCCGTGCAAATTCGCGCCGCAGCGTTCGTTGCTGTCGCCGCCGCCGCGCTGTTCGTCTCGTCCCGTCGCGTCGCGGTCGCTCGTCGGGACGGACGAAAAACGGAAC